AGGTGGACACAATATCTTTATTTTTTGATATTAGGCTATTGCCTAGCCCACATGAGGCACTGAACTCAGTGCCTCATGTGGGCTAGGCAAGACTCTACCACTGAGCCACAATGGCAACCCCTCTCTCCTCTTATTTTGTTTTTGTTTTTTGGGGTTACTCAGGTTTGAATTCAGGGGAACTCAACCACTGAGCCACACCCCCAGCCCTATTTTGTATTTTATTTAGAGACAGGGTCTCACTGAGTTGCTTAGGGCCTTGCTAAATTGCTGAGGCTGGCTTTGACCTTGAGATCCTCCTGCCTCAGCTTCCCTAACTGCTGGGATTACAGGCCTGCACACCACACCTGGCTGCACCCTCTTATTTTGAATTAAGGTCTGTGTATCAGAGAAAACATTCTATCTTTGACTATTTGGGGACTGACTTAGATCACTTAGCATGATAGTTTCCAGATCCATCCATTAACTGGCAAATGCCAGAAAATCATTCTTCTTTATGGCTGAGAAAACTCCATTGTGTATTTATACCACATTTTCTTTTTGTAATTTTTTTAGATGCTGATGGATCTTTATTTTATTCATTTATTTAAATGCAGTGCTAAGAATTGAACCCAGTGCCTCACACATGCTAGGCAAGTGCTCTACTACTGAGCCACAACTCCAGCCCTTATACCACATTTTCTTTATCCATTCATCTGTTTGGCACCTAGTTTGGCTCCATAGCTTGGCTATTGTGAATTGTGCTTCTCTAAACATTGATGTGGCTGCTGATTGTAAATTTTCTGGACATATATTGAGAAAGTGGAATAGCTGGGTTAAATGGTGGTTCCACTCCTAGTGTTTTGAGGAATCTTCATACTACTTTCCAGAGTGGTTGCACTAATTTGCAGTCCCACCAGCAATGTATGAATGTACCCCGCCTCCCATATCCTTACCAATATTTATTGTTACTTGGATTCTTGATAATTGCCATTCTAACTGAAGTGAGATGAAATCTCAATGTGGTTTTAATTTGCATTTTTTTAATTGCTAGAGATGTTGAACATTTTTTCATATATTTCTTGACCATTTGTATTTATTCATTTATTTTGGTACCAGGGATTGAACTCAGGGGCACTTGACCACTGAGCCACATCCCCAGCCCTATTTTGTAATTTTTATTTAGAGGCAGGGTCTCACTGAGTTGCTTAGTGCCTTGCTGTTGCTGAGGCTGGCTTTGAACTCACAATCCTCCTGTCTCAACCTCCAGAGCTGCTGGGAATACAGGTGTGCAACACTGCGCCTGGCTTATATTTCTTTCTTTTTCTTCTTCTTCTTCTTCTTTTTTTAAAGTGTTTGTTTAGTTTCTTTGCCCATTTATTAATTGGGTTATTTGTTTTGTTTTTGTTTTATTTTTTTTGAGTTAAGTTTTTTGAGTTCTTAATATTCTTAATTAATAACCTGGATATTCATGTCCTGTCTGAGGAGCAAGTGGTAAAAATCTTCTCCCATTTTATAGGCTTTCTCTTCCTGCTTCTGATTGTTTCCTTTCCTGTGGAGAAGCTTTTTAGTTTGATGCCAACCCATTTATTGATTTTTAATTTTACTTCTTGCACTTTAGGAGCCTTCTTAAGGAAGTCAGTTCCTGAGCCAATATGTTGGAGTGTTGGGCCTACATTTTCTTCTAGCATATACAGGATTTCTGGTCTAATTCCTAAGTCTCTGATCCACTTTGAGTTGAGTTTTGTGCAGGGTGAAAGATAGGGGTTAAATTTCATTCCACTACATATGAATTTACAGTTTTCCCAGAACCATTTGTTAAAAGGTCTGTCTTTTTTCCAATGTAGTTTTTGGCATCTTAATCTAGTATACCAGGTAACTATATTTATGTGGTTTTGTCTCTGTCTTCTATTCATGCCTGTTTTGGTGCCAGTACCATGATGTTTTTGTTACTATCGATCTGTAGTATAATTTGAGGTCTAGTATTATGATACTTCCTGCTTTGCTCTTTTTTGCTAAGGATTGCTTTGGCCTTATTTTCCAAATAAGTTTCATAACTGCTTTTTCCTAATTCTGTGAAGAATGTTATTGGAATTTTGATGGGATTATTGTATTGAATCTGTATAGTGCTTTTTGTAATATGGCTATTTTGACAATTAAATCTTCCTATCTAAGAACATGGGAGGTCTTTATTTTTGCTTGTTTGCTGTTTTGTTTTGTACCAGGAGTGCTTAACCACTGAGCCACATCCCTAGCCCTTTTTATTTTAAAAAAAATTTTAGACAGGGTCTCACTGAGTTGCTTGGGGCCTCCATAAGTTTGTTGAAAAATAAACCCCACACCTGTAAGTTAAACAGTATAGTCTCTATTATCCTAAAAAATTTGATCAACATAAAACATTCAAGGAACAGATTTTCAGTCACTAACTACAGAATGGAGAACATATTCAACTCATTTTAGGAAGTTAGAATAGCAGTACATAACAGTACACATAAAAATCTGTCAATGACAGTAAGAAAAAAAATATTACAAACTCAAACATGATCACAGATACAAAAAACAAGACAAAATATTAGGAACAATTTAATAATTCTATTATTATTATTATTATTATTATTACTTTTACCCTCTTGGTATCAGGAATTGAATTCAGGGATGCTTTACCCCTGAGTCACATCCCCAGCCCTTTTTTTTTTTAAAAAAAATTTGTTTTAATTAGTTATACATGACAGTTAACGCACTTATATACTTTGATATATCATACATAGATGGGATATAATTTCTCATTTTTCTGATTATACATATTGTAGAATCACATTGGTCATACAGTCACATACATGCATACAGTAATAATGTCTGTTTTATTCTACTATCTTTCTTATCCCTACATCCCCTGCCTTCCCACTTTTCACTTTTTGACTTCAACATCTATTTTATCCTATATAAATATAACCACTCCTGCTCACCTGCTCACTTTTGGTTTCCATCTGCATGGTATAGCTTTTTCCTTCTCTTCACTTTTAGTCCATGTGTGTCTCCACTGGTAAAGTGAGTTTCTTGTAGGCAGCATGATGTTGGGTGCAGTTTTTAAAAATTTTTTCCTTAATCTATTTAGTTGATCTAGATATTTTAACCTGAATCTAATCCATTTACATTCAAGGTTGGGTTAACTGATAAGCAAAGACATAATCCTGTCATTCTTTTGATTTTCTCATGGTTGTTTTATATATTCTTTATTGTTAGTCAGCTATCCATTGCAGTGACAAATGCCTGAGAAAAACAACTTTTTTTTGGTACCAGGGATTGAACTCAGGGGCACTCAAAACCACTGAGCCATATCCTCAACCCTATTTTGTATTTTATTTAGAGACAGGGTCACTCTGAGTTGTTTAGTGCCTCACTTTTGCCGAGGCTGGCTTTGAACTTGAAATCCTTCTGTCTCAGCCTTTCAAGCTGCTGAAGTAAAAGTGTTTTTTAAATGGGGCTGGGGGGCACACAATTTGGCTGATAGCAGTGATTTTAGGCATCTATTCATGTGTTTATTGGGAACCCATGTATCCACTTTGGAAATATATCTATTTAAGTCCCTTGCCAATTGTTAAATAGGGTTCTTCATTTTTTGTTGTTGAGTTGTAGAAATTCTTTATATAATCTGTGTACAAGCCCATTACAGATATATGACTTGTAAATATTTTCTCCCATTCTGTGAGTTAGCATTTCATTTCCTGATGTTGTCCTTTAAAGCACAAAAGTTTTTAATTTTGATGAAACCCCATTTGTTTTTTTTTCTTTTATTTCTGTGCTTTGGTTGTTATATCTAAGAAAACATTGCCCACTTCAAATTCACTAAGATTCAACTCTGGTTTCGCCTTAGAGTTGCATTGTCTTACCTCTTAATAGCCAGGCACGATCCCTTTTGAGCTAATATTTGTATATGATGTGAGATATTTCTTTTCTTTTAATCCCCAGGAACATCCTAGTTTTGGAATGTTCTTTACTAGATTAACTACAAAACAAATTGGTAAGGGAGTTGTTGCTTTGTTTTGTTGTTTGCTGTTTTTGGAGATCTTTAACAAAAATCACCAAATCACAGCAGATATAGGAAATCACACCTATTATATATCATGTAAAACATACCTCACTTATATTAAGCCCATTCAGTCTTTTTTATAAGCAGAGAAATTTAAACACAAGGTAAGTTAACAGAAATGGTTTACAACATCAGTTGAGATAACACTCACTGAATGATTATGAATAATATCTTGATTACAAATAAAAGCTTGGTCTCATCTTTTTAGCTAGGAATTGACTAAGACTTTATATCATTTTTTAGTTTGATTAATGAAAGAGTAACTAATTAGAGTGGAAAAGAGATTAGCAAATCATTCAAGATGTCAAGTGCAGTCAAAGTGTAATTTTGTCATCGATAATTTAGTAAGCTCAAAGCGACAGGTGTACATAATAAATAGGAACAGAGACTACCAAGTATTGAAGACTCTAGGTAATGTTCTTAAAATCAGCATTATTTGGTTAGATTGGATTTTATTTACCTGAATTGTCATATTGTTGAATGTGCCTTTGGCTTATTGACATCCTATGGTTTGGTGTACATTTCCTTTTTGCTTTGCAGGATATACAGAATCAAAAGTTAAAGACAAGTGTATGGTACCGTGAGGTAAATGATTGTTTCCTTCTATGCATGCTGGATTTCTGATCTGCATCTGCTTCAAAATGTAATTATTCTAAGGAATAGATATTATCTTTGCATTTATACTTCCTTAGATATGCAGCAGACATAAATTATTAGAATCCCTGCAAGATGAATGGCCATGGTTTCTTGAATGGCCATGATTTCTTAAGTCCTTTTCCCTAACAGAGAGTACCAAGGGGCTGATAAATTGGATCATTAATTCAAATTTCTCGTCATTTCTTTAGTGGGGTGGATCTTGTCCCACTTTGATAAGTTCCCTTTTTGACTACTCCTAACAGGTTTGGGATGATGAGTTTTTATCCTGGAACTCCAGCATGTTTGATGAGATTAGAGAGATCTCTCTACCTCTCAGTGCCATCTGGGCCCCTGATATCATCATCAATGAGTTGTAAGTGTGCAGGGTTATACTTATGTGGGGTTTTAGACCGCTGACACTATTCATGCCAGTGGCTGTTTACTTTTAGTCATTGTTGCTATTTTTTATTTTTTAAGTGGAAGGGAGGCATATTGTTGGGAATTTGAAATGCCATGATTTGACATTTAAGATAATATTTGATTGCTGGTACTTCAGGTTACTTTTTGTTATTGTTGTTTTGGGAACCACGGGTTGAACCCAGGGGTTATTTGCCACTGAGCCATATCCCCAGCCCCTTTTATATTTTATATAGAGACAGGGTCTCATTGAGTTGCTTAGGGCCTCACTAAGGTGCCAAGGCTTCTTTGAACTTGCAGTCCTCCTGTCTCAGCCTCCTGAGCCAGGATTATAGGCGTGCGCCACCACACCTGGCTTTCAGATTACTTTTCATGTCCAGGTCCATGACACTAGAAAATGAGTTAACTTATGAGACTACAACTGCTAAGCCCATTTTTGCCTCAGTAAATCATCTCATAGGAAATGGGATTCTGCCTCTGCAGTGCTAGGCTAGTCCTATGTCTCATGGTCATTACCATCCTTTAGTCAGTTCTGTGTATGTTTTGAAATGACTAATGCCCTCTCTGTAACAGGTTCTCTTGTGTTTTATATAGTGTGGACATTGAAAGATCCCCTGACATTCCCTACGTTTACGTGACCTCATCTGGGAGCATTAAGAACTTTAAGCCCATCCAGGTGGTCTCTGCTTGCAGTTTACAGACATATGCTTTTCCTTTTGACATCCAGAATTGCAGCTTAACCTTCAATAGCATTCTGCACACAGGTAAACCATGAGAGAAATAGTCCATTAGTTGGAAAATCCAACTATGCTGGGTTGGAATACATAGGTGAAACTATAATTTCATGTCTTATGTCATTCTTGCATATAATATAATTGTCTATTTAAAAATCTAAATCTCTTTCCTATAGTTATGTGGCTCCTGCTATACTTCAGATCAGGTACAATGTTAGAGTCCACTGCTGCTGTTAAATTGTGATTACATTAGGACTCTACCACCACTGAGAATGTTATAGAAATTGCAGGACAAGCTCCACCATTTTGTAGAGAGTTGACTCCAAACCCTAAATTCATAGTTTTTTTTTTTTTAATGACTAGAAAGATTTTATTCCCCACTTCTACCTCCTAATTCAAATAAGACCAATTAGACTTTGCATGTTGTGGCAGGAGAAAAGATTTGAATTGGGAGTGGAAAAGTGGGATGATGTTGGCACCTCTTTCTCTCCTGGGAAGTCAATTGTTTCTGTTCTTTTCAGTGGAAGATGTAGACCTGGGCTTCCTGAGGAACAGAGAAGACATTAAGCATGACAAAAAAACATTTTTGAATGACAGCGAGTGGGAACTTCTTTCTGTGTCCTCAACATACAGCATCCTGCAGAGCAACACTGGAGATTTTGCACAGATTCAATTTAATGTAGGTTCTTCTCCTTCCTGCCCCTGTTGCCCACTTCTCTGCAGTCCTTGGCCTTTTTTACTGGGCTGAGGAATCTTTACTCCCACTGCACATTCTCATTCATTATCACTCAGGAGCAGTTGGTTCAGATGGCTCCGAACATCTACTTGCATTTTGCTATGACAGGGGGCAGAGGTCCAGGGAGAGATATTGGGCTCCTGCTGTAGAGATTCCATAAGGGAATGTAGAAAGAATGATATTCAGGCATCAGAGGCCTGAATCAACAACTACAGCAGGAGTCCTCAAACCTTTCAGCACATACTAACATTATCACTTCTAATTGCTACTGAAAACAACAACAAAACCCCCTACCCTGTCACTACAACAAATTGGGAAGACTGTCTCATCAATCTTATTGTCCTGTTTTTAACTGAGTAAATTATTCATTAATTCCAGATGCAGATGCATAAAATGATCATATTATTAACTTGAATATCTGAAGGAATTATCCAGCGGTCACCTGCAGGACCCACAGAAACCACTGGTGGCTTCTGGATCAGAGGGAACAACTGCCCCAAAGGACCCACATTCCTCTGATGTATCCCTGAGACTGCTCTTGGCTCCTTTATTCTGTCTGTGGGGGATTAGGGAGTGATGGATACAAGACAATGAAACCTACTGCTTTGTGCCCCAGAGGTAGCCCTTCTCTCTTCTCTGGTTTTCCTGGCAAACCATCCTGACATATGGTCAGCAGCCAGTTCACATAACCAGCAGACTCAGTGTTAATATGCTACAGTGTGCTCTGTTTTTCTGCACAAAGTTGGTTAGTAGGAGTGGTTTGGGGCTAGGGGCCTTCGTGCCAAGAAATGGATCCAATAGAAAAATAGAGACTAACTGGCAAGTCAGGACTGCCACGAGATAAATTCTCCTAGAAATGCAGCTTTAGAATAGAAAGGTACATTTAGACTACACTAGGAACTATAGTTATGATGGATATGCTAAGGGTGGTGGTGGTAAGATAGGCTATAATTGAGGGCACAGATATTCCTTGTTTGGTTAAAAGGTGTTTCCTGCAGCATTCTGGCAAAACTAGTTAAACCAGGGCCTCTAAGATACCATTGGAGTTTGAACCTAAGTAATGTATAACACTGGCTAGCAGCTGATTGCAATCATGCCTTCCTATACTTCTTAGCAGTGGGGTGGGGTTTGGGTTCTTGCCTAGAATTTTGCTTGTTTTTTAGCAAAGCTTGTGCTGTGGTCTGCTTGTCCACTTTGTGTGTGTGTGTGTGTGTGTGTGTGTGTGTGTGTGTGAAAGAGAGAGAAAGGGAGGGGAAAAAAGAAGCCTTCTTCTTCTTCTTCTTCTTTTTTTTTAATTTCAATGAGCTTCTTGGCTAAGAGTAAACACCTCATTAATTTTAAAGATATCAGCCTGCAAACATTATTAATGCAGCCCAAATAATGGAGAACATTAAAGGAAATGTGAGGGAGTAGCATGTACAAGGTGGAACATAGTCACCTACCAAGTGCTCCAGAGAAAGCTGCACACACCATTACCTACGCTGCACGGAGGAGACAAACAGGCAAGAGATGGGGCAGGTAACTCAATCAGAGTACACATATGCACATGCGCAGGCGTTCTCATCCCCCCCATCCCCTTCTCTTCACAAAGTGACTGCTTATACTTATGTGTCACCCTTCACCTTAAATATTAATTTGTTTTCTCAGCAGCAGCCGAAGTTTTCCTACAAACTACCACCATTTCGAATGTGCTGAACAGAGATGGTAAAAGTTTGCGTCACCGTGTGTGACTGGGGTCTTCTCTGGGTCTCGAAACTGTGGTTCAGTTCCTTTGCTCCGTTCACGGCCACAGAGGCAGGCTGGAGGCAGGCAGGCATTTGATTTCCTGCCCTTGAACCTCTTCCCTGGTTCTTTGCCATGGAGGCTAAGGTGGGTATATAGCAGAACTGGCTTCCACCTGCTCCTCAGAAACAGAGTGGGGAAAGAATCCTGAGTAGTCACAGATCATATTAGCCAGACTCAGGAGTGATTCTGCAGCTCTGGTTATGACTTAACTTAGGCTCCACATCTATCAGTTTTCTGTCTCTCTCAACCTCTCTTGCCTCCATGCCTTCCATTCTTGCCATATGTACCATGCCTGGATTCATAGTTATCTTTCTCTGTACCATATATCCCATTATGAATCCAGCATCCAAGGCATCTGGATGTCCTTCAGCAACCATTGGCCAGTAGTTCCATGCCAATGTTAGGCCTGCCAAGGTCCTGACACAAAGGGCCACCTCTCTCTTAATCTAATCACCTGGTATCTCAGCCCAGGCTGCTCAGCAGGAGGTCAGGGACAGGTGGGGTGGGCAGAAAAAACAATGATCTATTCTAAATACATTATCATCCTAGGCTGATGTACACTGCTGCCATTTATACTAAATCACATTCTCCAGATGCCCCTTTAGTTCCAGCTAATGTACAATCATAGCTGCTGGCTCTGGGACACGTACTGTTTATCAGAGGGCACCACTGATATTTTGGAGTCGGGCTTCATTCCACAGGGGGCCCAGAGCAAGGCACTTCTCCCTACAAGGAATCTGTGTGCAGCCTGGGACCTGATCCAGCAGCCTTGGGAGGGGAGATTTCTTCCAATACACGAATGGAGGGGCTGGTTCCCAGAAACAGCAGGGTAAGCATTTGATTTCTGTAAGGCAGCGATTTTTTTTTTTAAAGAAATGAGAGTAGAGTGGGAGTAGGTAGGGATAAAATTTAGAAATTCATGTTGGATGGAAAAGGTGGACAGCTGTGGGAACTAAACCAGCCCAACCACAGATACTCTCACACTGAGCAAAGTGTTCATTCAGGCAGGAATTGGGGTACCCTTAGAGCAGTCCTACAAAAATGAATTAGGGGTATCTGAGAAAAAAGTTAAAAAAATTTTTTTTTAGTTGTAGATGAACACAATGCCTTTATTTTATTTATTAGTTTTATATGGTGTTGAGGATTGAACTCAGTGCCTCTCATGTACTAGGCAAGTGCTTTACTGCCGAGCCACAACCCTAGCACCCCCTAACCTCTTTTTCCATCATAATTTTCCTTTCTAGATTAGGGTAATTTTGTTGAGATGTCCATTGAATTCATACTGTAAACTTGATAGAAGATTCTTTTCAGCACCACGCGCGTACGCGCATGAGAGAGAGAGAGAGAGAGAGAATGAGAATTTAAAATCCTAGAAATTCTCAAGTAATGTGAGAATCATAGACTTCCTGTTAATATAGCCCAATCCACAGTCCAGATCCAAGAAGCTCTCAGTCTGGCACGAGGAACTTGCTTAAATGGCAGCAACTTTCCCATTTTTTTCTGAACTGGGAATGTTGGGAGGGGCCTCAGAAAGGAGGAAAATGGGCTTCTGTATGAAGCGTGAGTCTGGGCGTCAAAATTCCAACTATGTCATAAAGACGGTCATGCAAAATTGAGTACTGGTGGGGTCTACCATCAAGGAGGCAATTAGAGGCTAACCTTGGGGCCTATTCCATCTCCAAGGAGCTCTCCACACACACATTCTGAATTAGATTGATCTCTTTCATTAACATCAATAGGCTCCAAATACCTTTGTGTACTTATTATTACCTGGCTTTAATGGATAATGAAATTGTGGCATAATATTGCTAACACCTGAAGGGTGTCTAATGGAGAACACGGACTGAAACTAAAGTGCTTTTTCTTCCCTTTCTGTGGAATTTAAAGGCACCAGCTTCTTTAGTCCATTAGAAATGATTGGGTTTTAGGTAGGGGCAGTTTTGTAGAGAGCCTGGGACACACTGGCAGAGGCAGGGGTTACTATGAAGGTAGCCCTCAGAAAAACTGACCTCAATAGATTGGCCCCCATTTGAGCTAACTTCACACTCCTTTTGTAACTAAATGTAGCATTATTAAAAGACTCTAATACAATTCAACAAACATCTTTTTAGCTGATAGCATGTGCCACCCTCAATGGTAAACACTTAAGACACCATGGTAAATAAAAAGGTTCTTTATATCTATCATAAACCTAAAAATATGCACGGGAAGACATAAGAATAATCTCAAAATGGAACACTTCATGTCAGGCACCATTTTAAGAGTTGGTGCCAGGCATGGTAGCACACACCTGTAATCCCACTGGCTCAGGAGGCTGAGACAAGAGAGCCTGAGTCCAGCCTCAGCCACTTAGCGAAGCCCTAAACTACTTAGTTGGATCCTGTCTCAAAATAAAAAATAAAAAAGTCTGGGAATGTGGCTCAGTGGTAAAGTACCCCATGGGTTGAATTCCCAGTACCAAAAAATAGAATAAAAAAGAGTTTATATTCATCAGATGGGTGCTCCTAGTATCTGCACTTTTACAAATGGATAGATTGAGATGCAGAGAAGTTATGTAACTTACTGAAAGCTTCAGGATGACTAGTGGAGCCTGGATTGAACCAGGCAGCCTGACTCCAGAAACCATGTCCTAATCCTACATCATGCTGACATACAACTAAATGTAATGCAGTACATCTCAGACTGTTCTTTGCTATCTACACAGTATATATTACTGGGAAAGTCACCTTTATTTGTCTCACAACGCTGCCCCAACAAAGTACCCCAAACTGAGTGGTTTTAAACAACAGAAATTTATTCTGTTGTTCTGGAGAGTAGAAGTCTGAAATCAAGAATGACCCAAACTTCTGGGCCCTCCAAGGCAGAATCTGTTCTATGCCTCACCTAATATCTGCTGTTAGGGCTGAGACTATAGCTTAGTTGGTAGAATGTTTTCCCAGCACACCCAAGGCCCTGGGTTCAAACCCCAGTGCCACCAAAAAAAAAAAAAAAATCAACCTAATATCTGCTGGTTGCCAGCAATCACTGGTGTTACTTGGCTTGTAGATGTATCTTTTGAACCTCTACATCCATCTTTACATGGTCTTCTTTTTGCATGTTTCTTCTCTTCTGAGGACACCAATCCTACCTAGTATGACCTTGTCTTATGGGTGTTGGGCATGGAACCCTGGGCCTCGCACAGTATAACTGGTGAATGCTGTACTAAGACAAATTCCCAACCCCTCATCTTAACTAATTGCAACTAATTGATCCTGTTTCCAAATAAGGAAACATTCTGGGGCTCCAGGAAGGAATGATATCTTTTTAATTTTTTATTTTTTTTATTTTTTAGGTGTAGATGGACACAACACAATGCTTTTGTTTTTATGTGGTGCTGAGGATTGAACCCGGGTCCCGTTTGCGCTAGGCGAGAACTCTACCGCTGAGCCACAATCCCAGCCCCAGGAATGATATCTTGGGGACAGTATTCAACCCAGTAGAATAGTGGCATCTGCCTTGTATGCAAAATACAATTGCCCTTCCCAATATGCCCTAAAGTTAGCCCTTTCTAGCATTGACTCTAAATCCAAAATATCATCTAAATATAAACTAGAAAGTCCCAAGGCTCATCATCTTGATCAGGTATAGAATCTGGTTATGACTATTCTGGGGCAAAATTCCTCTTTGATCACAGACTTAATAAAACACCCAACCACCCAAGTCTGGTTCCTGAAACCATGTGGAGGGGACAAGGGCAGAGACCTGTCCTAACTCCAGACTGTATGATAGGGCCTGGCAACCTGTTCATGTTAATTAAGACAAGGAAGTTCTGTTATGTCATAGTAAAAGCTAATTGTCTCTCCTTGTACCTAGGTCTTTCCCTTCTGCTTTAAGCTTCTGTTGATGTACAGTGAGGAATGACCTCTGACAGGATCAGCTACCTAATTTGTAGGGCTCAGTGGGAAATGACAATGCAAACCCCCTATTAAAAATTATTAAGAATTTCTAAATGGCACCTACAGAGCATTAAACCAAGTTCAGAATCATATGTGCTTGCCTAGGTTGCATGCACCAGAAGCCACGTAACTTCTTAGCTCTTCCCATGCCTCCCCCCTGACATCTCAGGGATCATTTGGGCTGATAAAACAGCACTTTCTCAGACATCAGGGGCTTTGAGGAGCCACACTACCCATCTTTGGTTCTGGCTTAGATTTACATTCACTGTCTGCATCAGCCTCTGGGTAGAGAGGAATCATTGCCGCTTGTGCTTTTTACATACAAACTTTATTTAAAGAGTACAATAGCTCATCTCAATTGTACTAAGATGTATGGCAAGGCAAAATTAAACTACTTTTAAAAAAAATGTGGGGAGGGAGTGAGTGAATTGAGCCATAGAGAGGTTGGCTCCCTCACGCAAGGTCACTTACACTTGCTTATCTAGGCTACAGTGGAGGCACTATGGGACTCTGTGCCCTTGGCTTTCACGTCTAGGCTCTTTTCACTAAACCAACATGCCTACTTGTGCTTTTCCTTAGAGTGATATTGTTAGACTTCTTCTCTTTCATGTAATCTCTGCCACAGCATCTCTAGGGGGTATTCACATCTCTACCCTCCAGAGACAGCAGGTGTGGTTGCCACCCCTTACCTCATGAGGCCGGATCACCAATAGCCCAGGCTAGGTTACAACACAAAACCCTCATGGACCCCAACCACTTGACCCCTTTTCTCCTCTCCCTGCCTTTGCCATCTTAGTCACAGCATGAGGAGGGGAGCTAAAAGGTGCAGGTTGATGACGATTAATTCTGTTGTTGTTTCTCTTGTTGCCTGCACTTTGGTAGAAATGTGTTTTAACCAAATTATTGCAAAGCAGTGAGTGTTGCTCTGGTTTAGATATTTGCAGCCAATTATGTTTAATGTGAAAGAGAACAGCCAGACTATAATCCGCCAACGGCTCTGGCCTGCCAAGCTCCACTGAGTTGGGACATGCTTCTGGATCCAGCTGCAGGGCAGCCCCCACTTTCACCACCAGGGCAGCATCTGGACTCCCCCAGCCACGTTGTTCCCTGCCACCTTCTGCTCCATCCCTGGCCTTTTCTACCTTTTTTGGTAGAAAACACATTTCTACCAAAGTGCAGGAGGAGAGGCTTTTGCAGACTTCTTTGTGATTCTTTTGCAGAGCAGGAGTCAGAGATGAGGGAGAAGAGCCCTGCACTCTGGTCAGAGGTCCAATCTGATCAACAGTTGTAGCTATGCTGTGGTGGAAAAGAGCTGGGCATCAGAAGATGTGGGGACACATCCCAGTGGTGCCACTTAAATCACTTAAGAGGATCGAGCTTTAATTTTGAAAATTTATAAAATGGAGGGTATTACCTACTAACGACTTGGCAGTAAGGATTAAATAAATTATATCATACGAATAAAAGCACAGAAAACCTTCTATTGTTTGGCAAATGCAAAAAATAAAGAGATTCTAGGCATTATTTCTGTCCAAGTCCAATAGCAAAGGGCCAAGGATGTTCATTTGTTCAACAAACATTTATTGAACACCCATTTTTAAGACAAGTCTTATTTTGTTTTTTGGGGGGATTTTCACCAGCCAGAGATGGGATGAGATGAGAGATCACAGTGGAGTGAGGGAGGCAACCTTGCCATTCTTTGGTTTCTCTTTCAGAAAAGATTAGAATAGAATATATGTTTCTTAAAGACATCACAATCCCAGTACAGAATGGCAACAACAGTAGTGATTTTGTGAGATTCAAATTCCAAACTACAAAATCCACTTGGCTTCCACAACACAGGCGGAGCTGAGTAGCTTCAGCTGGTCCCCGCTCCAGGGGGCCCCACTTTCCACTTCTTCCCCTTTCTTTGTGCTCCTGGAGACTAAGCTGAGGCCTGCAGAGATGGGATCCCTTGTCATGTTGGGCCAATGGGAGGTAGGGCAGGGGCAGCGACAGGAGATTGGAGGGAGGGAGGGGAGGAGAGGGAGGGGGTACTTACCTCTTCATTTGCTTCTGGTGAAATCATTGCTAGATTGCTGTGTTCTAGGAGAAAGCTACAGTTCCTGCCCTGCATATCTTTCTCTTTCCTCAGGTTTGGCCACCATCCCTAGCACTTGGGCCCTTCAGGCATAAGGGTTGTATCAGCTCAGTCCCCAGAAATCCCTACATGGACCTCCTCTTTGTGGTTTCTCTTTTCTTTTTTCCCCCAGTCCCCCCTACCTTTTTAAAAAATATTTCTTTAGTTGTTGATGGACCTTTATTACTTATTTATTTATATGCGGTGCTGAGAATTGAACCCAGTGCCTCACACAAGCTAGGCAAGTGCTCTATCAGTGAGCCACCACTCAAGCCCTTCTCCAGTCCCTTTTTTAATATATATATATATATATATATATATATTATAGGTGAACATAATACCTTTATTTTATTTTTATGTGGTGCTGAGGATTGAACCCAGTGCCTCACATGTGAGAGGCAAGTGCTCTACCACTGAGCCACAGCCCCAGTCCCTCCCCAGTCCCTTTTATTCCTTATTTTGAGACAGGGTCTCACCAAGTTGCTGGGGCTGGCCTCAAACTTGTGATCCTCCTGTCTCAGCTTCCTGAGTCACTGGGATCACAAACCTTGTAGTTTCTTTATACCCTGCCCGCACCTTGCAAACAGTCTGTTGAGCCCTCTTGCAATTTCCCCATTTTATAGTTCTCTTTGTTCTTGCCAAGATATTTATAGATCCTCAGGTGTTAAGAGGCTCACATTCCATGTAAGAAGAGAGGCTGAAAATAATACCCAATATTGTATAAGTGGCTTAAGAGAAGGAGGGTTTTCATTTTAAGACAGTTTCTTACCAGATATGTGAATTTGGAAAAATAATTCGACCTCTTTGAACCTTACTTTCCTAGTTTGTAAAATGGAGATGAAAATATCTAGCCCTTAAAGTTTTGAGGATTGACTATGATAAGCATATGAAACAGTCTAGTGTATGGCACACAGCAAGTGGGAAATAAATGCTAACTTCTTCTTCTTATAACTATCAATAATATTAATATTGGCTATGTAAAAGTTTAAAGGATTTTTCTCCTTCATTTCTAAACCACAAAATAACCTCAAACATACTTCTAAGATAAACTACACAGACTTCACATGGCATATGAAGGCTTTGCATGTTGGGACTTACGTGAGTATTCCTGGCTATGGATTTGGTCAAATGTTAGTCCTTGGGCTTAGATTCAACAAACTCCTTGTTCCTGGCCAGGTGGTGATTCGCAGATGCCCATTGGCCTATGTTGTGAATTTGCTGATTCCCAGCATCTTCCTAATGCTTGTGGATCTGGGGAGCTTCTACCTGCCACCCAATTGCCGGGCGAGGATTGTGTTCAAGACCAGTGTGCTGGTGGGCTATACAGTCTTCAGAGTCAACATGTCTAACGAGGTACCTAGGAGCTCAGGGAGCGCCTCTTTGATTGGTAAGCATCCTCAGGGTCACCTGATGCCAGTGTTATTTTATTCCTGCCAAAGATCTGGTGACGCATTTCAAACTGGAGGAGGGAAAAACCTTAGAGACTACAACTAACTTCTCTGCTCTGGTGCCTTCTCCCAGGGGTCTTCTTCACAGTCTGCATGGCCTTCTTGGTTCTCAGCTTATCAAAGTCTATTCTGTTGGTCAGATTCCTCCATGATGAGTGGAGAAGTGGCCAGGAACTACCCCTCTTGTGCCTTCAAGGGGATGCTGGCACCGATGGGTCTAGAATGGACCCTAGGACCCAGGATGCTGGAGTAACAGGTTTGTGAGAAGTCTAGAGATCCCTTTCCCATCTTTCTGGGTCCCCCTCAGCACCAGTGCCCATCAGCAAAGCACCAGGCCTTTTGTTGCACTTTGTGGAGAATCTGAAGCACCTGCTTCATAGTCCCTGCACCACATTTATATTACCTCTCTGGGGACTGAAGTCCACCTTCTGCTGGGGGAAGTTGCTTTAGCTTGTTTAATTTTTCAATTACCCACAGTGACTCATCCACCCTAGAATAGTAAAGCTCTAGCATGTGAGCTACTTGGATTTACTTCCCCCAACCTAAAAGAAAAAGAAAAAGGAAAGTAAAAGAATCATCCCAGCCCCTAAAGTTCCAATTGAGTTGATCTGGTCACTACACATACCCTGCTTTCACGATATAGCTCTGCCATGGTCTCTGTCCTGCAGCACAGCCATGCCTCAACAAGCAAGTAGGGTGACAGTCCACAACCCCACCCAACTCTCTTCCTAGTTTTGCCCACAACTTTCCTTGAAGGATGAAGCTGTCAGATTCAAGAGAAAGTTCCAGTGGGCCTTGGTAGCCCTTGGCTCACCTCAAGTATTTTCCTCTATCATGCAGAATCCCCAGTCTGTCAAGAACACCAGATCCAGTCAGAAACCCTGAAGGAAGTCTGGTTCCAGATTCGATCCATCAACAACTACCTCCAAACTCAGGATCAGGTGGACCAACAGGAGGTTGAGTGGCTGGCGCTCCTGTACCGCTTTGACCAACTGCTCTTCCGAAGCTACCTTGTCATGCTGGGGCTCTATGCTGTCACCCTGTGCTCTCTCTGGGCACTGTGGAGTGGCTTGTGAAAATTGGAATCTCTGGTCTCAATCAATGCACTATCACACTTAAGGAAAGCTGTGAGGAGATCAAAAGGGGAGGAACAGTGGGTCTAAATGATTCCCACCCGCCATTGCTTCTTTTCATTGAGTCCAGGTACACACAGCCTATGGGTTACTGAAGGACCCAGCACCACTATATTTATGATGAAAATGTATAAACAGAACAAACAAGCCACCAAACAAGCCTTCATTCCTCAGTAACTACTGTTGGCCTTCTCAGAAAGAGATCTGAAAAGCACATACATGCACATATTTGTGTTTAAACAGTTTTTTTTTTTAAATGTAAGATCACTCCATCTCTCAGTTATGACTTGGTTAGTTGTTTTCATTTATTCAACAAAACCTTTATTGAGTGTTGTTTAAGTCCTAGACATTATGTTAGGAACACCAGAGAATATGAAGTCAGTCACAGAGAACATTCTTGATTGGATTCCTATGGTCAACTCTGAACCAACCAGAACACAAAACTCTCACCATATTTGCATCTTTCTGAAGCTTATGTTTCTACTATTGCAGCTAAATCCCTTCCTCTGTCTTCTTGTGCCTTGGAGATCCCAAGTGCCAAGGTTTCCTAGCCCATCTAGCACAACATTTAGTGAGCACATACCATGTGTAAGGCATGAGCTGCGACATATGTCTAACCCATGCTCCCTGGAGTCAAGGAATTTATTTATTTAGTGGCACTGGGGGTAGAAACTAGGGGTGCTCTACCACCGAGCTACATCCCCAGCCGATCCTTTTTCTTTATTTTGAGACGGAGTCTCACTAAGTTGCTCAGGTTGACCTTGAACTTGTGATCCTCCTGCCTTAGATTCCCAAATTGCTGGTATTCCTGGCATGTGCCATCATACCTGGTAATTCAAGGGATTTATACTCTAGAGTCCTTCTATTAGTCAGTTAGGGCTGCCTGAATAAAGTATTACAGAGTGGGCAGCAGCTTGAAAGCACAAAGATTTATTTTCTCACCATTCTGGAGGCTGGAAGGTTTCTTCTGCAACCTCTTCTGTAGACGGTCACCTTTTCCTGTGTCTACATGTGGTCCTTCCTCTGTGCATGTACATGTCTATGTTCAAATTTTATCTTTTTTTTTTTCCTGTGCTGGGATTGAACCAGAGCCTGTGCACACTAGGCACATGCTCTACCACTGAGCTACTTCCTCAGCCCACTTTTTATTTTCTGTTTTCAGACAGGGTCTTGCTAAGTTGCCCAGGCTGGCTTCAAACTTGTGATCTTCTTGCTTCAGCCTCCTGAGTAGCTGGGATAAGAGTATGACACAACACCCTGCTAAATTTCCTCTTCTTCGTAAGGACACCAGTCATATCGGAGCAGGACCCATTCGGTTGCCTCCATGTCACTTTTTTTTTTTTATACCAGGAATTGAACCCAGTGGTGCTTAACCACTGAGCCACATATCCTGCCCTTTTAAATATTTTATGTAGAGACAGGGTCTTACAGAGTTGCTTTAGGATCTCACTAAGTTGCTGAGGCTGACTTTGAACTATGATCCTCCTGCCTCAGGCTCCCAAGCTGCTGGGATTACAGGTGTGTGTCACCATGCCCAGCATCTCCATGGAATCTTATTACTTCTTTCAAGGCCTCATCTCCATATACAACCATATTCTGAGGTACTAGGGGTTAGGACTTCTACATATGACCTTCAGAGGGACACAAATCAGCCTATAACACACACGTGATTATGGAGACTTGGTAAGTACAAAATCTTCAGGGTAGGCCAACAGAAGAGTTCCCTGGAAATCCAGAGGGGAGCTCTAGTTGGAGTCCAGAGGTCTACTCTCTGGAGTGTCTCTTCTTTAGGAGAGGTCAGTCTTTTTTTTTTCTCAATGCTTTCAACTGATCGAATGATGTCTATCCACATTTTGGAGGGTGATCCAATTCACTCAATGTCTACTGATTTAAATATCTTATCTTGGGGGCTGAGGTTGTGGCTTAGCAGTAGAGGCGCTGGGTTCAATCCTCATCATCACATAAAAATAAAACAAATAAAATAAAGGTATTGTGCCCAACTATAACTAAAATTATTTTAATAAATTAAATATCTTGTCTTAAAAATACCTTCACAAGGGACTGGAGTTGTGGCTCAGTGGTAGGGTGCTTGCCTAGCATGTGTGAGGCACTGGGTTTGATTCTCAGCATCACATTAAATAAATGAATAAAATAAAGGTCCATCAACATCTAAAAAAATACCTTCACAGAAACAGTTAAGATAATATTTGACCTAATACTAGGTATAATGGCCTAGACAAGTTGACACATAAAGTTAACTGTCACAGCCCTGATAGCTCCTTAGTTTTCCATCTATGCCACTTTCTAGAACAGAAGAGTCCTGTGCTAACCTGGCACTTGGGTAACTAACCAACTTCTGGGTCAGACTCTCCAATAGCCAAACCTGTAGTAATAATCCTACCCATGAAGTTCCTGTGGCCTCAAACCTGAGTTTGAATAAGATTAAAATTCCACAAAACATCCTCCTTCTTGTATTTGACTTTCTTAGCTTCTCATCATTTCTCCTCACAGAGTGTTCAGTCCAGCCAAGCCCACCTGACTACTGTGCTCCTCAGGATAGGGTTTCTCATCTAAGCTTCTCCTTCTTTTTGACCAATTTTTCTTCTACTTTATCCATCTGTCTCTCAACTCTGTCTCAGAGCTCTGCTCAGAATGGTCTTATTCCCCCACATTCCCACCTCCGTGACTCTGTCCCCTCATCTCTGTCTTTGGTGTTATAGTATCTTATATCCTTCTCCCTTTAAATGTTTTGTGGCCTCTATTATACATGTGCGCGCACGTGTGTGTGTGTGTGTGTGTGTGAGAGAGAGAGAGAGAGAGAGAGAGAGAGAGAGAGAGATTTGTCAAACGTGCCACATACTCCTAGAATAGTTGCCCTGTTTTCTCTTTCTGTTTATCCCCCATCTATGTCCACACCATAGAGGGTTTTGCATACGAGTGAGCCTACCATCTTGCATGGTGAGTGTCCTATAATGTAATTCACTCTAGCTCACTGCTGACAGTGGACATGTATCTGGTGTGTTTTCCTAAGTCTGAACGACAAAATCTCCCAAGATCAGACACCCAGTCCCTGGATTTCCCTCTAACCCTCATCTAGGGTAGCCTTCAGGAGGCTTGTGGATAGAAGGACACAGAGGACAGCAAGACAGTCATCAGTCCTAATGCTGCCAGCAGAGGACACAAAAGTCTAAAGCTGTTTGCTAAAAACTTTTCCTGGTACTAAAATTGCCTTTAAAAAAATCTGCCCCCCTCCATCCCCCCAAAGAAAAAGAATTTAAATTCAAACAGCCTTTACCTGCATCCTCCCTCTCTCATTACCTCCCAGTTAGTGCTCAACGCCAATTGCCCATGAAATTCCACTGCTGCTGTTAATGAAATGAGGAACATAAGAAGTTTGTGAACAGGAAGGAAGTGTCCATGCAAAGCTCCACCTGTTTGCTGCTTCACTCCATACTTAGTACCACTGGCCTTTGCTGCCTCCATGTACTCTACAGCTTCTATACTGGTTCCAGTTCTCTCCACTTCCTCCCCCAGTTATAGGGGAAGACAGGAGGAAAAGCCCTGCAGTGAACACATGCTGCGAGGTCTCCCTCCTTCCTAATTGCACGTTGGAGAAAGTACCAGGTTCAGTCCAGAGACCTGCTTTAGTCCTAGTTCCAACACTGTCTACCCAAGGGACCTTGAACTTAACTTCTCAGACTTCTATTTCATTTATTTAAATATTTAAATAAATATTTACTCTTACCTATTTCACAGTTATGAGATCAAAATGAAGAAATGTATTCAATAGCATTTTGAAAAGTAACTATAGATCAAAAAATAAACACAAGACCTGCCTGCTATTAACAGATGGATTCCAGGCCGAGTCTTTGGTGTGGGATCTGACTTCCGGCTGCCTCTATCAGAATCCCCTTATGGGTTCTGGTTCTTCCCTTTATCATAAGGATCTGAAAGTTAAGGGCTGATGTCATCAAGGGTCTTCTTACAGAGGGACTTGAGTGAGGGTCCCAAAGGGATTTCTAATTCCACTTCCCACACGTCTCAACTTTGGTCCATGTCCAGCTGCCACTGCCCAGGTTCTTTATGTCACCCACGAAGAAGCTATCATTCAGCAGCAAAGCCTGCTCACTAAATGGACTCCCTGCGATCTAGTACCTAGTGGCCCTAATCCTAACCACATCCAGGAACTCACTCTAAGCCCCAAGGTCATTCTGCTGCCTAAAACAATGACATTATTGATGTGTAACACTTCAGACCTCCTCTTGGAATAGTGCCTTCAGTAGGGGAAGAACATGAAGTACTAGTGGCCCTTACTTAGAGCTGCTTTAGTGGAAAGAAACCTAGGAACAGAGCAAAAATGGGATTCTCCCAGATGTGAATGCTCCTACCATCTGCTGTCTCCCAGAATCTCAGGTAGTTTAAATATTCACAAAGAAATTACAGCTCCTGTTCTGGTATCTAGAATGCAGAGATGGTTAAGCAGTCCCATAACCAGGCAGCCTTCAAGTTGTAACATATCTCAAGATAACTTCTGGATGCTGCCATGATGACCCCAAGGACCTTCATAGGCTTTTTTTTATCAAAAATAACCAGGTGATGATTTTTCCCTTCTAAGATTTGTCCCAGAGAAGCAGGAGACATCATGGTGAAGGAAGCTGAGCTTCTCAACTCTTAAATCTCCAAGCAAGTCTCTTGTGGTCTGGCTTTGAGCTTGGGTGGGTCAGAACCAGAAAGCAAAGAACCATGAGGGCAGCCAACAGCAAGGTGCCGAGGGAATTAGCCTTGCTCTCAGCCCAACCTCAAGGCTTTCCCAGATCCTCTCATTTCTCAGGGATCCAATCACGTCTATATACAGGCAAGGTCAGCAAACAGTTAGAATTCATATTTTACCCTATTCTGTGGCTCAGAGAGGCTCCTAGAAAACTTCAGAAATTGGTTTTAAG